ATTCCTATTATAGACAGTTTTTACACATTTATAGAGCGACTTAAGAGGCGTTTAATTAAAGTTTAAAATATGAAGTATTTTTTTTTAAATGTTCGAGCTTGTAGCTTTTAATTTGAACTAAACTTCCATATAGTGATTTCCATGATAGAAGGACTTTTCGCAAAATTTTTACGGATTGTGATTTCCATTCCTTTTCCACTAGTGTCCATCAGTCGTGGTAGGTTTGAGCTTAGAACGAACTCTTTTCAAGAGACCAAAGGCGCAATAGTTCATTGGTGAAACGTCAGAGACTTCGCAGGAAAACATTGAAAATATATATATGCAATACTTATATCAGACTTCACTTTTTCAAGGAATTCAAGCGATGGAGGCTTTTTGAAGTATGACTTGTTGCTTTGTCTTGATGAGCTTCACTCCTTGAAAGTCACTGGGATAAAGAAATGTAATTTCTTCTGTAAATATCGGACGTAAAACTTTCTCTTGATGCAACGCTGAGATGATTTTAACATTCTTTTTATTTTTAATTTTCCACTGTAAGAGAACCTTACTGAAACTTTTTTGCATTGACAGGATCAGGTCTATATACATTTTTCTCTTCGTTTTCAATAATAAACAGACCTTTATTTCTTGCACACATTTAGAAGTACATACTTATGCTTCATCAAGTGTCACAATGTATTTCCATTCATCTTTTGATAAGTAATTTTCATACAAGGGTCTACAAACGGTTCTGCATTAAGCCACATGCCTCGGAAAAAGCTGGCGAACATTATGTTTTCTAGCATTTTCAAGTTATAAATCTTAGTTTATTATTTTATTTATTGTTGCTACGGTTGCATTTTAAGACTTTGCAATTGAGTTCTGCTGCGGCGTATTTTTTCTTGTTACCAACGATTAAACTTTATACACATTAGAAACAGTACGTAACTTTTACAGGTATTCGCTTGGAGTTTTCTTTCCATGTAGCAGTAATGATGGATGGTTTTTCCCTTTCCGATTAATAATGTTGTTTATTTGCATTTAAAAATTTTAATAGTATGCATTTCAGAACGTTCTTGAATTACAGAATAGGAATATTTATTTGTTATAAACATATCCTTCACCCTACAACTTGTTTACAAGCGATCTTTTGAAAGAAGAATAAATTTAACAGTAGTAGACAATATATCTCATTTTAAATAATAAGCCGCTGATGGAAATGTTTATTTCAAAACATTTGTTGTTTTTAGTGCTTTATCAAAATCGCAAAATCGTTCTAAAAGTGTGTAAACAGGCTCTGTACGAGAACTTCTTACATTTTGTTTACATTCAAGCACACAGATTATCAAAACCATTTAAAAATTTTAACTACACAAAAACTGGTTCACTGACGATAATCCTTGAAAATTGTCGGAAATTGATTTCTGTAAAAGTACGTTTTAATATCTCAGATACTTAAAATTATTATTTTGAAACAAGTTTTTGTTATATTTTTCTTCAATAACCATTCCTGTAATACGTAAAAGCACTTTGAAGTATTTATATTCTCTTTTCCAGAATATCAAAGAGAAAAATTATTGTTAGCTTTCTGAAGTTCATACTGATTAGTTACTCTAAGTTGTTTCGATGAGATTCATTAGCCAAGTGTTAAGATCATCTTTCTTAAGAATTATGATCATCCCAGCTTGATTACCAAAAAAATCACAGAACTCTTACAACATTGTTTCGAACCTAAGAGAATTTATAATAAAACAATATTATTCCTGATAATATTATTAGTCTAAAAATATGATCAAAGGTAAGCTAATGTCATGACTGTAATCTTCGTACTGTAAAGCTGACTGTAAATCAGCTTAAGAGTTAATATATCCTTCAAGCAAATATCGAGCGCCATTTCCAATTTCATTAGAGGCTCAACTGCTATTATAAACGAAATCAGACAACAACAGATTCTTAATTCAGAATATTATATTTGTAGTCTTAAACCTCAAATTTGTTACATTCAGGCAAATGCTCCATTCACGGGAACAGACCTGACACAAGGATATCTTAATTTAATCTTCACTGCTAGTAGAACTGAAAATCAAACAACAATGATGCCAAAATTTATTGTTGACCAACCTGGACCAAGTAGCCACCGGTGAAATGCGATCATGACATCGGTGCCATCTAGAACAGGTCGAGCGATGCCATGCTAGATTTGACTAACGCCATGGTTGCTGTCTTAATCCTCGGTTTAATATTTGCGATCAATCTTGGAATAAACCTCTTAACTCTGTCTTCGAGATATTATAACGGTTTTATGCGAAGTACCTTTACTAGGAAAGATAATTCAGAATAAAAAACACAACCACGAAAATTTTTCTCATTATCATATTCTCAGAATACCACAGTATCCATTAAGTTCATTAAACATCGGTTCATTAGGTAAGTTGGTAGCCGACCCCTTTGCGGCATGGAGGAGACTGTCGCACCAATCTCGGCGCTATTGCTTCCCATTAGTTCGCTAATGGGCATTTTAATCGCTGGATTAAAAACACCCTTTTACTCTAATTAAAGCAATTAATCCAGTCTGCAGAAGGAGTGGAAAAAAGGAAGGTGAAAAAACAAAAATAGAAAGCTACCTCGTTATTCCACTCGTTTTTGCACCAACCCCTTCTTCTCCTCTTTTCATTTAAGACTCCCTTTTTATTTAATTAAGCGTTTACACTTTGTTGAGCATTATTTGGAGGAGATTTTTTTTATTTGTTTCTGTTCCCCCAATTTACCTTTTTTTCCCCTTTCCTAAAGGTGGTGAATTTTTCCCGCGAAATCCTAAGCGCGCGAAATTGGTGCGCGTGTGCGATAGAGCGTAAGAAGCGACAGAGGGTAAACTGTAATTAATCAAATAATCACCGAGTTTTTATTACCGATCATTAAGCAGAGTCTTTTCGAGGGATTGGAAAAAATAGTAAAAGCGCTATGCGGAAAAGCTGAGTCGCATTTCCGAATGTTGGTTTTTGTGTGTATGTGCTATTTCAACAATTTTTTTTTTCAGCCGTCTTATCTTTCAACTAAACCGCAGGTTAGCTCCAGAATTTGCTTTTTTCTTACTTTTTTAATTTCTCATTCACTTCATTTCATAAACTAAATCTTATTTTCGCTTCCACCTACTTTATTGCGCTCTACTTTTTATTACAGCATATCTTCCTCATTTTGTGTAAGAAGGTGATAATGCGAAGAGAGAAACAGAATTTCATAAATTTATCCTTTTTTTTTTTTTTTAAATGTGCGTTTCCAAGCGAAATAAAGTACATTCATTTCCACTTAAGCACAGTTTGATTCACATCAGAGGCACTTATTTCAAGTACTTCCCTTCCCCAACTCACACAAACTAATATTTATTTGTGGTTTTGATTAGAGAACATTCTCTTTACTTTATATGATACAAATGATAAAAGAGCATAAAAATTAAAATGCTGATTATTTTACATGTGCGCTTTAAATTAAGAGAACATATTTAATATTAGAAATAAAAAACTTAATATTACGATTTTTAATTAAATTCTTGTTTAATCTAATACGGCATTTCTTATACCATAATTATTCTTTTCACTTCAGTTTTGTTATCTCCTAAATTTCAGGTTATCTCCTAAATTAATTAGTTTATATGCAAAGCCATATAGTTAATCAAACAAATGAGCTGAGATCTGATAACGTTAAGCAACGTAACGCGGAAAGTGGAAAGATTAAGCTTAGGACGACAATTTAAAATAACAGATTTTAATATTTTACAGTAACAATCAACATAAAATTTAATAATTCTCCTTTCTGTTAAATTTTACTTCCATACATATTTATTTTAATCTTTAAGTTTATTAAAGATTAAAAAAGTAAATTAAAGTGTGAACTTACGAGTTTTAGATTGTATAATGATGAAAACAAAATTCTAAAATTCTAAACAAAATTCTCAGTAGTAAGATGCAGAACGTTTTAAGGAATTTCTTCCTAGCGTGCCTTCGTGGTGTAGTGGTTCTGCACGCTGAGCCGGTATTCCAGAGGTCCGTGGTTCGATTCCCGGCGAAGGTGGTTGCTAATTTTTATCTCTCTGGCTTTTCCAAAAATCCTAATATATGTACAGTGGCGCCCGAACTAAAAGGGTGGTGGATGATGATGATTTCTCCCCACCCAGGATTTGGCGATTGGGTCCCCCCAAACCTCAGTCGCCCTTTAAAAGGGGGAGTTTATAAGGTATTTTTCCCGCATTCCTTGTGCCTTCGTGGTGTAGTGGTTTTGCACGCCGGGCCGGTATTCCAGAGGTCCATGGTTCGATTCCCGGCGAAGGCGTTGCTATTTTTTATCTCTCTTGCTTCAACAAGTAAGTAATGTCTCTACAGTGGCGCCTGAAGTAAAAGGTTGTGTATGATGACTCTCCCCACCCAGGATTTGGCGATTGGGACCCCTAAAAACACCAGTCGCCCTATAAAAAGTAGAGTATATAAGGTATTTCTCCCACTTTCCTAGTGCGCCTTCGTGGTGTAGTGATTCTGCACGCTGGGGTTCCAAAGGTTCAATTCCCGGCGAAGGCGGTTGCTAATTTTTCATTTCTCTGGCCTTCAAAAAAAAAAAAAAAAAAAAAAAAAAAAAAAATCCTAATGTCTCTACAACGTAAACTGATGAAACATGCAGTTTTATTTTATTTCCCACAAATACTATTACAGCGTTCTAAAAAGATGATAATTATATTATTAAATGTTTATTAACGAACTTATTTTTATTTATATGGTGCGGAAATATGCATATCATTATTGAATTAAATTAGCAAATGATTTTCTTCTGTGAATAAAAATCAAAATTTTCAGAGTACACATAACCTTATGGAAACCTTATAATCAAGCAACTAATACTTCAAAAAAGATATTTGACTCAATTATTCCTCAGTTGCTGGAAAAAGTAAAACGAAAGTATGATGCATAGTTACATTTTTAATTAATGCGTTTCAGCGAATCATTTTTAATTGCGCAGTATTCCAGGTTACTTACCGTTCCGAGGTCCCATATGCATATTGTGCTGGCTTCACCCCCTACAATTAACGTTCTGCCATCAGGTAATAGCTTACAGGATCGGATATAATTGTCCCTTTGCTGAAAGAATAAAATAAATTATAAATTATTGAGCGATGCAAAATTCTGCAAGAACCTTTCTGTTTTTTAAACGATTAGAGGAATTGAAACTGGGTTTGGTTGATGGGTGAAAATTGCAACCCGTTGAGGAATAAATGCATCACGGTCGTTGTCTTTCGTCTTTCAGAACTTTTTAAAGAGAAAAAAAGAAGTTATGTGGTATATAAGCTATAGCTCAGTTTTTCTCAAAAAGACAGTGGTGTAGTTAATTTTGATATCTTAATTCTTAAAAGAGATAATGACCTGTAAAATTGGCGTAAATGGGTTTGTAATAACCTGCTATTCCTTGCCTTCAGGTGATAAAGCTTTGCACTGTTGATCTAGGAAACAGATATTTTTTATAAATAATGAAGTAACCCTTAAGCTTTGATGATAACTTTCACTCCAACAGAACATTACACACAGAGTTGTAGCCAAGCTTTTAGAAAACAGAAAGGGTATCAGTGCATAAAAAACATCACAATGGATATCCGGAAACTGCAAGAAACAAAGAATAACCACTGCAGTTTTGGTTACTTTCATGAAGAATTAGTAGCCATTGTAATGCACAGCTAATGTCTCGAGAAATGAGCATCGAAAAAAGTTCTGTTGCAAAGATTTTACGCTCTACCAAACGGTACGGTTCCTCTTACACAAACGTGGATAGAAAACAACCCTAACAGATGGTTCATGTTCGCAATATGAACTCCATAATAAATTCATGTTGACATGAGAGCGTCATGTATTGCTTGGTGACGAAGTTTATTGCTTTTTTAAATAGTAAGTCAGGGAAAAAATATAGATGTTTATGTGATCCAAATTCATCATGCAAAAATCTCATAAAAACTCTCGGTAAAATGAAAATCGTCGTATAGGGTTTTCTACTCTTAAGAAAATCTCAGTTCATTTCAGGAGAGCTATTATTATGTTCAGTCCCCTGGAATGAAAAAATTAACAGATCATTTATGTCAACTTCTCCGATAATTATATTATTAATAAGCAATGATACCAAAAATCAAACTCCATTATTGATCTATTCAGAAGATTCCAACTTAAATTCATATATCACATGCCTCCCTTTTTGAGTGAAAATTTCTAGCCAAATTCAAGATACCGATCATGATGATGTTCGGTATTTTTCTTATATCCCCAACAAGTAGTGTTTTCTACCATCATTCCGAATCAGAAAATCAGTTTCGATTCCTTCAATAGTTTAAGATGTTTCCACACTTAAACGCAAACTACGTAGAAAGCATAAAGGGAAGTATACATTCAATTTTCAGTTCATGTCTAGAATTCAAATACCAGCCGATAAGTTCACATGTTTTCAGTGGAATTACACAATAAATGCAATAAAGATCGGTTTTTCAATAAGACTTTAGCTTAAAATTTCAAGCTGGTAGTTGTCATCTGAATACCTTATCGATGCACTGCCGTTTTTTTAAATACCAGAGGTAATAAGATAGGGATCTATAAAGTATTTTTATAAAAATTAAAAACAAGGTTTACATTCCAATTCACAAAAGCGAATAGAAAAATCGAAAATTATCTGACGAAAAAAAGTCAATTAAACAGCGACCGAAAAATAAACAAGGAGGTTTGGTATTAATTATAAATGTTATGTAATATGTACTGAGGTATTTTTATTATTTCATTTATTATCTTCAGAAACACATTTCATTTGACAAATCTCTGTTTTGTATACCTCTATAGATAAAGGGTGAAAGAAAGGAGTATAGACTAATTAGAAACGTGCAAGATATAACTGTTAATAATTATAAAAATCAACTTTATTTTTTTAAATAGATATAAAATTATTCAGAAAGTTTGAATTTCAAATCAAATACACTAAAATGATAGTTTTAATAGGATATTTTGGTCTCAGAGTTTAGTTTTAAAAGAAAAATTATACTTTATTTTCGTAAATAACAATAATTTAAATAAAATTCACAGTATAAAAAATTTTGGAACGCTTGCATAATGTTTTACATTTTTCTTTTTAAATCAGATTGTTATGCTAAAATGAATCCATTTTAAATGTAGTAAAGAACAGATGCCTTAGATGGAACAATCATTGCTGCCACTTTTTAAAGAGGAAATATTAATGATTAATGCAACTATTATAATAAGGAAACAGGCCAATGAATCCTGCTTAACAACTTTGATCATCAACTCCCCAAACGTGACTTGAACGGTAATAAATAATGTAAATAAAAGCTAAGCAGTAAAAAAGTAATAAAATATTTAGTAACAATACTATACTTACCAAGCAAACTAATTCGGAAACTGCACTTTTGCTGCCAGGCTGACTAATATCCCAGACTTTAACACAGCCCTGCAATAAACATATTAAAATAACTGCTAACTTAAAACTCATAAAAAAAAGGAATTTCTAATGATGCTTATATTTAAATTCAAAATCAGTTTTTACACATACTTTACCTATCTATCAATATAATGTTAAAATAATAAATAAATGTAATAAATTCAAATATAATTAGGAGCTGCATAAAGAATAAAAGCTGCAGCAGGTTTAATATGAATAATACGGTGAAGAAAAATTTCTAATAAATATTTCAAGACGACCCTTAGTTACTTCATTTGCGAAAGTGTAAGAATATGTTGGTTTTGTTAAATAGTTCATTGCCTAGTTCAGAAACATGGCTTCTGCAATATTTCCTGGACCAATCAGCGGAAAAGAGGTTACCAGATATGCAACAACTCGTTTTATTTTGCTTTTTTTTAATTATTTTGGTATACTCTATTTATTTGTATTTTATTATATCGTATTCTTTTTAACTTTTATATATAATTTTATATATCTATATATATTTTATATAAATAATTTTATATATCTATATATATATTTTATATAAAAATAATTTTATACATCTATATATATTTCATATATATAATTTTATATATCGTATTCTTTTAACTTTTATATATATAATTTATATATATAGATACTGATAATGATGATATCCTACATTAATAATAATATATATATATATATATATATTCATATATATACCTGTTTAAGTTTCCCGAACAATAGGCTTACTAATAATTACTTCACTACATCTTTTTGGATAGGATTATCAGAATACCCTTTTACCCATGACCTCGAACTTTACAACGAATTTTGCATAATGTAACGCAAAAAGTCTGAAGAGAGTGAAGCTCTGTCGGAAAAATAAGGTTACAAGATTAAATCTATTAACATGGAGATAAATGGCTATCTCGCTAAATTGGTGAGATTACCGAGTTGGCCATGATTTTGGTGACTCTTTTATGTCCAAAAAATGCCAAACTTGGCGATCATTTGGCGACATTTTGGTACGTTTTCTGTATAACTGTAATTGGTACTATAATTAAATCACTATAATTGATTCCTATATGTAAATAAGAATTGGAGGCTCCCTTCAGCCCACCCGGACACGAGTGACCCCATAGCTCAAAAGAAGGGGTCCTGCATCTCCACAAACGAGGGCAGCCAGTAACCCAGCCACTCCCAAACAACAAACAAAAATACTAAATCAAAAATAAGTAAGCACATCTAACACAAAATTACAGACCAACAAACAAACAAAAAAAAAGTACATAAACACAAATTCACAACATAGAACAGATATCTAAAACCCATATAAATACAAAATTCAATTTTAACAGAAGATTTCTACCAGCGCCCTATTTTCATTCATAAACTTCATCAGAGCAATAGAATATGATTTAAAAACTTTAAAATTAATGACACATTAAAACCAGTAATGTTAAAAATCTGTCTAATAGGGGCCCCTATATGTAAGTACGAGTATGTAAGTATTACCGTAACCGGCCCTTATATGTAACTGTAAATGCCTTTAATAATTTCGAGAAATAGACGGCACTAGAGATTTCTCGGCGGTCGGCGACAAAAGAGAGCATCAGCTCTTAGTTTTTCAGTTCAGAGTAGATTTCGGAGCATTGAGAGATCTCCCGGTGAGCTACGCTTTTTAGATGTGCCTTGCATTGAGTTGTGTACAGTATAGCGCTTTTAATAGTTTGAAGTGGTAACTATTGACTATGCTTTATTTTACTGAGAAGATCTGTATGAGTACATTTGTGGAAAATTTCACAGCTGCAAAGTGTTTCTTTTGGGAAAATAAATTCTATTAAGCTGTCATCGGTTCTGTGTGCATTTAATCCATTAAAAACCCGTACACCCGTAACAATATATGTATATATGTAAAATACAATACGCACTATATGAGTTCGAGTAAGTCGGAAAATGTTGTCCTGATTATCCTATCTAAGGAAAAAGTGTAATGATATAATATATATATATATATATATAATATCAACCAATAGTGGTAAACTGTAAAATAGGAAGGCACAAATTAAATTTAAAACAATTGATGCAAATAGATGGAAAATATTTCCTCATTTGATTATTTTATTTAAATTTAAAATAGAATTTCTTTGATTATTCTCTTATGCAATTCACCTAGTTATAATACAGAAAAATGGCTGTGTTCATAATTCTTTCGTTTGCTCTTTAACAAAGACCAAGAAATTAACAACTATTAACTTTTATTTCAGTTTTGTTTTTTTAATTATTTGCTTCAGTTGTTTTCAATTTGTTCCCTGTTCTAAACGGAATAATTCACGTTTGAACATGTTGTGAAGATGTGACTATATCATGCCATTTTGAAATCGTTGCTATAATGTCCAGAATGTTTAATACTTTTTTCATTTGTTTGAAGAAAAGAGTTTTACCATATTTCTGCTCTAAACCTAGATGGCAATATGACTCCATTTATCGTACATTGTTTTGTGTTGGAGAATACAGAAGTTTAAAAGCACATGGAAATATCTATATTTAAAATTTTTTCAGGGTTTGACAAACTAGCACATATATATCATATATATATATATATATATATATATATATATACTATATATATATATATATATATATATATGACTACTGTTTTCCCAGTAGTGTATATATATATATGACTACTGTTTTCCCAGCAGTGTATATATATATATATATACACTACTGAGAAAACATCTGAATCGCGTTTTCGAAATGTCATATTAAATCAAAAGGAAGAGACGATTTAAGTAACCGGCAAGGCTCAATTTCAGTTGCGATTACAAAGTACATTTCTCCCGTAGATGAAGTTCGAGAAGCAGTTTTTAAAATAGCTCATTTAAGTTTGAAGGGAAGAATATTTTAACCTTTTATCTTACCTCCATGACATAGCCATATCTAGCGCGATTACTTCGACACTATGACTTCTTTACGTAACTGCATTGCCATTAAAAATTGCATTCAAAATCTTCTGCTGCTGCAGGATTGTTTCTGTTCGAAAATTGGATTCCGTACGTTTCTTACATATGTACCTCTATAATCTTTAAACAAAGTTAATGATCATACAAATTTAATCTTGTATGAGAATTTTATGTTTACTCAGTTAACTCAATACTGCATCTGTTTCTATATTGAAAACAAGAAAGCAGTTAAATCTAATAAATGACGAATTGTATGTTGCACTTAAAAAGTGATAGAACATATTCCTTACAATATAAATAGTCAAATAACAACTTGAAAATACTTAATATCAATGTTCTACACAAGTATAAAAGAATTAGAAGAATTTAAAAAAAATAAAGAATTTAAATAATACTTAAACGGAATAACGAGAACATGTATTACAAAAATCTTTGATTTTAAAGCAAATAGATAAACATTACCTCGCTATGCACATGACTTTCTTGAAAATGTGCTTCTCTATCAAACAAATGAGAAACGTAATATATATGATGGTTCCATAGAAATATCCGTCAATAATTTAAAAATATGCTCAGTCAAAAATCACACGCAGCTGACAAATTTCTTTAGTTTTTTTCACTTTCTTTTATTTTTCTTATCTGATTTAAATTTACCCTTCAGGGGTAATAAGCATATCAAAAATACGCAAAATGGCTTTATCCAGAAAGATTTAATAGTGATTCTTTTAACAAAAAATAGAAGGAGCGTGGAAAACAACATACTCCAAAAGTTTTCAGTTCGCACCGAAAAAATTCTGAAGTGGACTAGGAAAGGCTTTAAACCAGGCTTCAAGTATTTTTAACAAAAGATGCGAATGGTTTCAAAATATCCGAGCGCTTCGTGGAGTAAAATTCTTTCATGACGAGAAACTTCGCGAAGAACCTTAACGACGTAGCAAAAGTGCGTCAGAGATTTTTAAAACACTCTTCGAGAATCACTGTTTGGCCACTTTGGTAAGACATATTCAGGTACGAATTCTTTTCCTAGGGAGATGTTAAGACGAGGCATTTAACTCGCGGAATCTCCTTTACAACATTTTTTAATGTTATTTTACCAACTGAAAGGGAACGCTTCCTTCTTTTTTGAGTTATTATTCAAAACCCTTTACAGCTAAAGGACCCGTATTTTAAAAAATGTTGATGAGAATATTATGGTCGGTGTTTTTTATGATCCTTAACCACGAGCGTTAAACAGTTAAAAATACATTTTAACTGCACGCATGAGCATTGTAGATAGTTTACGATAACACTTGAGATACGGTACATAGAAATTTAACATGCAAATTGTGAAAAAATTATTTTGAATACAAACATTACTAATTTTTAACATTCTATCTGCCTCTAAATTCTGTACTTTTGAAAATTACAATTTTCTGAAGAAAGGTTCCACCAGTGGCTGAGAGGTTAAGGCCGCTGAATATTGGTAGTTTAACCCGGGTTCGAACGCATGCAAACAGACTGGCAGCATGGTTGGTTTTAATGGCTTTACCCACGTGTAATATGAATACGAGCTTATTTGGCTTTGACGAAAGCATTCCTTCTCTAAGGCAGATAGACTCGTGTGCTTTGCTATATATTTGAATAACCTAACTTACTAACCACGAAGAAAGAATCTTTTGTCAATAACTTTCGAGAATCCAAAAAACTGCGAAAACCCTTTTTTTATTCTGCTTAATTTCTGTCTCATAACACTGGCGATATATCCACTCAAAGTAAGTACTGTTATTTAAAATAAACAGATCATCAAAATCATGATCCCCAACAATGAACTGTTGCTAGGATGAATCACAGAAATGCACTTAAATGACAGATAGCTGTCTTTTGTCAATAAATACCTAGGTGATAAAATTACGGAATTTATGTAAAAATACTTTTAAAAGGGAGAAATGAAAAAAATTAATGGCGTTATAGTTTAATAAAAAATATGGTGGAAAAATTAGAATATCATCGTCAGATAACATTACTGAAATAACACTTTTATTAACATCCCGCATCGTTGTTTAACCCTCAAACTCA